AGGTCAAGAGATCGAGACCATCCTGGTCAACATGGTGAAACCCTGTCTCTACTAAAAATACAAAAATTAGCTGGGCATGGTGGCACATGCCTGTAGTCCCAGCTACTCGGGAGGCTGCGGCAGGAGAATTGCTTGAACCCAGGAGGCAGAGGTTGCAGTGAGCCGAGATCATGCCATTGCACTCCAGCCTGGGCAACAAGAGTGAAGCTCCGTCTCAAAAAACAGAAACAAAGAAATGGCCTATTAATCATGGCAGTGACTAGGCCATGGAGGGTGTGAAGCCACACCGCCCAGCTGATGGCAGGACTCTGAGCTGGTCTCACCTGAGGGCCCTTCTGTGTCAACCCAGCTTCTGTGCCCTTGGAGCTCCCCCTTCAAGGGCAGCTAAGGCTGCAGCCTCCAGGAGAGGCTGATGATGAAAGAGAAGTGAATCAGGTGGGAGGTAGGTGAGGAGGGTGCTTCTTGGGAGTATGGGAAGCAGGGACAGAGGCATGGCCACAGGTTGGTCCCAGATTCACCCCACCCTGAGCTCCCACTCACCAGAATTGCGCCTCCTGTGGGTGTTCCTGGACATGGTCATGTCCGTTCCACTAGGAACCCAGGGCTCCTCGCCACGCTCGAGCTGGATGACCACACGAGGTCGAGAGGTGGAGAGTCCTGTGAGGAGGTGGTGCAGGTTAGAGTCCAGCCCCAGCTCAAGACAACCCACCTCCCAACAGAGGGCAGGAGTCAGGGCTTCATGGAAATAGAAAACGTCATCTGTGCAACCAGGAGAATCTAAAGATGGCACAGGGCAAGGGTCTCACAGGAATAGCTCATTCATCGCCAGGGCAGTAACTGTGCCCAGAGCACCAAAGGAAGGGGACTGAGCCCAGGCACGGAGAGGCCACAGCTGGACAGGGTCACAGGGAGTGGTTGAGCCAACCAGACTGCATGTCTACAGGACCAGCCCCCTATTATTCCACATGGCCGCTGGCTGCAAGAAGGGCCTGCTCATCAGCCACCGGGGAGGTGAGGGGCATCCTGGCCAGTCAGCTTGTCATCAATAGCCCATTTCATGGAGTATCCAGGGCCTTACCCAGTGAGGCCACAAGTGCAAAGTTGTCTAGCATCACGCGGCGGTACAGGGCCCTCTGGGCTGTGTCCAGGAGCCCCCACTCCTCCTGGGAGAAGTACACAGCCACATCCTCGAAGGCCATCTGGTCCTAAAAGAGCAGGGAGGGGGAGATAGGCATGGTCTAAAACTAGGTTATCCAACCTTTTGGCTTCCCGGGGCCACACTGAAAGAATTGTCTTGGGCAACACATAAAATACACTAATACTAATTTTGTTTAGCTGATGAGCTAAACAAAAAAAAAATTGCAAAAATATCTCATGTTTTAAGAAAGTTTAAGAATTTGTAGGCCGGGCGCAATGGCTCAAGCCTGTAATCCCAGCACTTTGGGAGGCCGAGGCGGGTGGATCACGAGGTCAACAGATCGAGACCATCCTGGTCAACATGGTGAAACCCCGTCTCTACTAAAAATACAAAAA